AGGGACCTACCAAAACTCTACAAGATATACCTGAGAGATGCAAGAGGGGTCGGAGGGGAGAAAGTAAGGGTGATCAAGTTCCCTGTTACAGACCAACCCCGCTTCGTCAGGCTTTGACCAACCCCCCCCCATCCCTCCAACAACCTCCCTCCCTCCCTCCCTCCCTCCCTGAATCTGATCTGAAACTCCTCCTATCCTCCTCGTCCCCTCCACCGTTCCCCATATCCGGGACCCCCCCCCCAATAACCCCCCCCCCCCTTCTCTCTTCCTCTCTCCCCTCCTCTTCCCGCGCCTTCGTACCTCTAATGGATCGCCATGCACGTGGAGCACGTGAAGCCGGAGTATCCGTATAAGTATCCGTAGGGTATCCGTAGGGTATCCGTAGGGTATCCTCTGGTGTATCCGTCAGTGATGCACGTGTAGATAGGCGGATCTGAAAATGGGGGGTGGGGGTACTTGTCGGTGGGGTCCAGCAAATGAGAACAGTTGCTAAAAGGGTAGTCTGAAGGAGATTTGCTGGTGAAAGTACCGGTGATGAAGTACCCCTACCCCATAGTTGTAGGAGGCATGTGGGGGGCCTGTACTTCTGATTCAACTCGCTGGGGTGGGTTTGTTGAAGGACCGAGGAGCGGCATGGCACGAGCAGCTTGGAGGGAAGCGGAGGAGGCGGCGATGGGATGGGAAGAGGCGGATGCTAGAGGCAGAGACATGCTGCTTGCCCTGTCCAACGCATCTTCTCGCATCAAGGACTTCGAGCAAGCAAGGGGCCGGCTCGGGGTTCTTTCCAACGTGAAAGGGGCGGAGGATAGGCTTCTGGTAATTCGTTCGCTGATTTGGCGAAGACAGCAAGGGCTAGAGGCTGAGTTGCTTGCCTCAGGTCATGCTGGGATCAAGCGTAGAACGGCTGATAGTAGCTCTGCGATCGATCGTCGTTTCTTTGAAGACAAGCTGCTCGAAGATGGAAAAAGCTGTGGATGACGTCTTGACGGAGCTGGCGAATGCGCGAAACGAAGAGAACAAAAAGTTGTTGGCCTGGGAAGCAGATCGTGGACAACCGGTCTTAGCTGACATGGCGGAATGGCTCGAAGATGCATTGAACAACATGAAGAGAGAGAATGCTCTGCGTGAAATGCTTGTAGACGGCATCTCATACACTGAGAATGATGGGATCCGGAGGGCGATCGAATTGTGGAATACAGAAGTCTTCTTCCACCGAGACGAATTTCGTCAGCGAGCAGAAACCGTCAAGATTCATGCAGCAGCGGCATGATAAGGGATCTCTCGGTGAGGAAGCTTGTTATGTGGTGTCGTGACTCTTGGTGCCGATGATGCACGAATTGAAATTCGTGCTTGGTTATTGAACAACATGTTATGAAAGCAAGTTTGAGATTTGAGGCATCAGCATTTGTTTTCGATGCGATGAACCATGATTCGTTTTCGAGCCTTGGTGACACCTCTGCCGCAGGTTTCATTATTTCCTTGCACTTAGCAGTCCCGAAGCCAATGCAAGGTGAGGGACATGTTTGAGGAGCTTCGAGGCCTCTAGAGTCGTGGATGCACTTTCAAATTGCTGGTGCGAGACTTTTCCATGTCTCCATCAGTGCCGCTAATGGTGCTACAAGATGCCTACTGCTTTGAATGCTGCGAAAATCTGAACGAATAGCTTTTGGCAAGCAGCATGTAGGCAATAATCGAAATTGAGTCACGTTGACCTTCGATTTTTGACATGTGTTGCAGGTCTTCCAACACGTCCAGTGAAGTTTCTATGGGGAGGTCGAGCAAACTCGAGGTAATATTAAGATGCTTGTCTGTGATACCCTTTGCATGTAGTGGGTATGATGAAATCCTCAAAGACCATGTATAGGAAGAGCCGTCTGATCTCTGTGATGATTTTGGTCTCTGACCTGCTCGATTGCTGTCTTTCATATGTCCAAGTGTTGTTCGCAGCTGGCTGAGCGGTCTTGCGCGTGCAGGCATCTTCTCTGCCGTCCGCTCGTTGGCGGCAAACTCTTCTTCTCAAGCTTTCACACGGTAAGACACTTCTCTTCCTGTCTGTTGGTTTATGCTCCATCGCCCTGGTGAACGAGAGGATGATGATCTTTCTACTTGGTCCGTGTTATTGAAAGGGATTAAGACCCCCTTCAAGCGTGAAACCACTTTCAAGTACCTGACTCTTGTGCCTGTGCCTCCTGCTGAATGCTCCTTACTGTATCAGTTTTTCGTGACACCTGTTGTTGCAGATCTCTCGCTCACTCCATGGATGGAACCTGTCGAAATCCAGAGCAAGAGGGAGATAGAATATATAAATCGTCCCTTACATCACGATCTCGCTCCACTTTCTCTTTTCATGCAAGAATGGAACATCAGTGAATCTTTTGCACGTACGCCATTGTCATCGTTCGTCTGCCATGGCGTTCTATGGTGTCCCCTGCTTCTGAGTGCGTTTCACCTTCTCGCCCCAACTTTTATCCCTGCACATTGCGAGCCCACAAAGTAAAGAGTGGGTAGGGTCGTTGAGTACGGGTCCAAAGTTCAGTCATTGTGTGGTCGATGAGGGGGTACTCAACGACGAAAAGGGGTAGTTGGAAGGGGTTGTTCTATAGTGAAAAAATTGAGGTCTAATAGTCAAGTAAGGACTCTGATGGTGGAAATTGATAGGGTGGGGTACTAAAGTACCGTGTATAAACCAGGGAAAATGAGGGGTAAATTTACATTAGGGTGGCTCTCATAGTCAAGATTGACAGTACCTATAGTCAATGATCGAGGATCTTTGGATCAAAGAAGGGGTACTCAGATAGATTTTTCTGGGGGTACATTTGTGAAAAAAATGGGGGGTGGTATTCATAGTCAATAATGATTCTGGTTATAGTCAAGATTGCTGCCGCTGGCAGCGGCGGCGCGTGAAAGATGAGCGGCAAGGGAGGGCCAGACCTGAAGAAGTACATGGACAAGCGCGTCACATGTAAGTGATGGCTGAGAGAGAGGATGGGGAGATGAGAGAGGGGAGGAGGAGGAACAGCAGGAACAGGACGAGGAACAGAAGGAAGAGGAGGACGAGCATGAGAGAGTAGTAATCCGTGGGAGGTTAAGGGAAGCAGGGAGTTGACTAAAGAGAATGTGTGAACGGGGAGTATAAGACGAGAGAAGAGCGAACGGTGTGTATGGAAGGGAGAGTTGTGATGGAGGAGATCAGCAGAATTTGTTGGAAAGGGCAATCACAGTCTCGTTCTGAGACGAGACTTGGCTGGCGATGTTCGATGCAAAAATTTGAGTGGGCTAGAGGGATTATTTCAGAGTGTGACTAGCGTGAGTTGTGAAGAGCATTCACACGAGAAGTATGAGGGGAGACGAGGCAAACTAACGAGTTTCTCGCAGTGAAGTTGAACGCGAACAGAAATATCACTGGGATCTTGCGTGGATACGACCAGTTCATGAACTTGGTGTTGGACCATACTCAGGAGGTTGTGACCCCCACACAGAGAAACGAGATCGGCATGGTGGTGGTGAGGGGAAACAGCATATCGATGGTAGAATGTGTGGATAGAGTGTACGGCTGATGCGGGAGCTGCAGCTCATTGAAAATCCTTGTCAGCTGCGGGTTTGGGTATTTTGCTGTTTGGTGAAGGATTGAATGCAGTTTTTTGTTCAAGCATACGGGTCGTTGTGGGATCCTATTACTGTAAGATTGAAATGAATTGACAACTACGGAAACAGGCTGTGCAAACATTCAAATGTATCATGTGGTACACACAGAGTTGCATGTCTCAACCGTGTGCCCTTGCATGATGAAATCATCGAGTGCTGCTGAGTACGAGCCGCCAAGGGTAAGAGAGTCAGGAGCTTTACTCTCCCTTGCTAAAATCAACATAATTTAACATCACACGCTGAGTCCGTCGGGAAAGTACCTTGCCTGCTCTTGCATCAGCTGTGAACTGATGAGCATCAAGTGTAACGTACAAGTTCAAGATCGATGTTGTGGTTTCCCTCCGACATCGGAACCTGTCTGTCGCCTACCCGCCTACGTAGACGAAGCCTCAACATAGGCAACAAGAGAAGGCTCAAGGTACTCACGACAGGTCCGACTTCAAAGCTTCTCTCATCACTTCCATCGCCAAGTTTGACTGCTTCTTGCTGTGCCCTCTGCCCACCTACAGCACCAGACCAAACGTCAGAGGAGAGGAAAGCAGAACTCCGAGCGGCTGCGTCATACCGAGCTGTACGAGTCAGACAGCTGATGATAGACGGGAAGCTCCCTAGACTCCCGTGCATGACTGTGATGCGCCACTCCTCCCGTCCTCCGATCGAGCTCTGCCTTGAGAGCATGGATCGTGTCCTCCTCCTTGGCGATGGTGTTGAGAAGCGCGTGCCGCTCGTACTGCTGGGGGTCAGAGAAGCCGAGAGCCTCGACAGCGGTCTGCTTGTCGTAGGGATGGGTCGGTGTCCACAGCTTGCCGAACCTCCTCTTGGGGATGCCGGCAGCTCCTCCTCTCACTTGCCCCGAGGGCATCCTGATCTCGTCGTCGCCCAAGCCCAGTCTCTGCACAAGAGGACAAGAAAAGGTCAGAGGAACGACGCAGTCACGTGGGAAGGAAGACCTTCAAGCCCTCGAGGATGCTGTTCTGATGAGATTCGATCTGTACATGATCCACTGACCGGCAGTTGGCGGACGAGAGCTCGGAGAGCAGCGGAAGGCCACACAAGAAGGGGGCTGTGGTATCCCGTGCCTTCGAGACGTACCTCGTCTGCCTGCTCTCAGCCGCTAAGTCGCGCGATACCTGCTTGGCCTTTTGCAGCTCCATTTCCTTCTTCGCAAGCTCCTTGCTGATCCTGGCTAGTTTGCGCCAATCCTCAGATCTCTTCCCAGATCGGTGATGGGTAGCGGCAAGCATATTCTTCTGACGACTTTTGTCCATAACATAATGCCCGCCGTTGAGGATGAAGTTGGCATGAAATTCGTTTTCTTTTTCGAGCCGAGACGCCTTCTCCATCTCATCCGACAGCATCTTGTCATACATGCTCTTCTTAGCATCGGCATTGTCTTTGCGGTTGTCCTGCTTGGCTGGTGGCTGCTTGCTTGCTTCTGCCGGCTGTTCCTGTCGCTCCGCCTGCCTTCCTTGGTCATGTTGGGCGGGACCAGGGGAGTGTACCTGATGCAACAGGGAGGGTCAAACACTTTCGACAAGAAGGATGGGAGAGGAGCTCACCTTCATGTTCAGCTCCTTATTCTTCTCCCTCTCCTCCTTTATCTCTCTCTTCAACTCCTCGATCTGTTGAGAGAGCTTACCAACTTTGCTGGTGGATTCTTGAAAGTTGTCATCGAAGAGGTGCGAATCATCGGCAGCAGACAACGGGTTTCCCTTTGCCGTTGCACGCGCGACAGGTTGTCTTGCCTTGTTGACTGCCTTGACATGATGCCGCTGGGTCCCATGAAGGATCCCAGGAGCAAACTGATCGTAAACCACGTTCAGCCCGTTCGACTGCACTGGGGCTGCATAGAACGAAGGAGCTGTTGACGTTCGGGACAGACGTGGAGAGCTCGCTGCGGGCTTGCCTCCTTTGCTCTGCTGCCCAACTCTAGCGTGAACCTGCTGCACTGCGTGATGAGGTGCGCGAGCATCTGCCGGTTTGGCGGCGGCTGAATTGGATCCCTGTAGTTTCAGCTCCTGATTAGGGACATTCAGCTGGAACTTCTTCGAGCCCAGAGCGACCGAGAGGTACTCTTTCATGGACGGATCACGAAGAATGTCATCTAACCCAGCTGCATGAAGCTTGTCTTTGTTCTCCTGTAGGAATCTCCTTCCAGCCTTTTCATCTTCTTGATAGACCTTATTAACAAAACTTGACGCCAACCCGTTTTGACCCCTACCCGTCAGCAGCTCAATGGAGCTTCCTCGTGGAAGGAGGATCACGCAAACCAAACCAAGAGCCGCTGTTGCAAAGGCTGCCTTCCGAGCGACTGCCATCTCTCCCCAGCGAGTCGAGGCAATCAATGGCTTCAGGAAGGATTCAAGGAAAGAAAGAGATGAAGAGAGAGACATGTGGCGAGAGGAGAGAGGAGAGGCTTTCCGAGTGTGAGGAGGAAGTAGCCTTGACCGCCATGTCATCTTTCTGGCCCCTCCAGGCGGCGAACCCTCGACTCTCTCGCTGCCCTGCATTGACCGTGCCATGACCCTTCGCCGAACCTCGAAAACTTTCAAACTTTGTGACCAACAACTTCCTCCGAAACTTCGGAACTTCGATAATCAAACTTTGAAGTCGCTGACCGTACCAGGTCAGTGACCCAGTGAGCCCGGCAGGAGCGGCCGGGCCCCGCCCGGCGCCGCCCCCAGGACTCGGAGGCTCGGGGACCCGGCCGCCCGCGCCTGCCAGCTGAGTGAGTCTGCGAGACCCGGCGGTGACTAGTGCCACTCAGTCAAGTTCCGAACTCCGATTCAGCGGCGGGGCGGCACTGACCGTGAGTGTCGGTTTCATCCGAAGGGCCGGGCGGCCCTGCCCGGCCGCGGCGGCGCGATGATATCAGTACGGTGAGCCGTACTACTCGTGACTGGGCCCACGGTTCAACCGTTCAACGGTTGGCCCCACCGCGCTGGTAGCAAATTAAGTTAAAGATCTCAAATCATCACCCTTGAATTGTACCAGCAGTCAGCCTAGTACTACCGAGATGTTCTAGCACATGTCGTAGTACCTTGAGCCTCCGAAAACTTTCACCATATGTCTGCAACACGTAACTTAATGGTCGTTTTTGTTTTACAGAAGAGTTTTGTTAACTCGGCACTGACTGGCACGGCTGGCATACAGATCCATCAGACTCGAGTTCTCCTGCCAAGTGTGGAATGATTGGAGGCTAGAAGAAGACTCAGTGCGGCGAATTGCAAAGAAATACACAGAGGTTCATTCATGGTAGAACTGCATCAAAATGGGTACCCATAAACAAGTTGCTGAGGTCATTGCTAGAACGTTCTTGAGGCAGATTGTAATTGATGCTGTTGGATTTTGAAAGCATCTTATCACTTGTTGCGTCCTGAGACGAAGTACTCAGAACCTCTGACTAGAACAGGCAAGTCATGGATCAATCAGGGGCCATAGAGAAAGAGATATATCATTTCATCAATGTCTGTATCATTTCAGACATCATTGATATCTCCCTTTTTGGTAACATGATGCTTCATGAATGGCAGGATGCTACAGCTATATTTTGTTTTTGGCTGAAAAATTGGCATGACAAGGAGGTAAATAATCTTCCACAGCTTCATTCCATGTTTGAAATAATAGCTACTTTGCTGGACTCCAGTCAAAGCATCATGGCATTGACTTCCCGGACATAAAACACCGCGACTGAGGAATGGAGTCTCCTCTCCTTCCTCTACATATCTTTGGATGTAGAGCCTCCTGCAGATCAACTCATCGACCTGCTTGAACGCTTCTCTCACTGGAAGCATCGAAGAGAAGGGCATACCAGCATTTCATCTTATTCGACGCTCTTAATGATAAATATTTTGTGCACATTACATCGCGACTTCATCTTGGTTCGACTTCCTTCGCGCGGCATTCGCTACGATGTTGAAAGCTTCGACCATCGTCGTCTAGGATCATCGCCCCGACAAATCCCTCTGGAGTAACGGAAAGTACCTACCCCCCCCTTGGATATCCGTTTGCCTTGTACCCCACGTCAGTCAGCATCTCATGAATTTCATACTACCCCTCCAATCGTACAAATTTGCTAGAAATTTCCAAAGGGGGTACGGTCAGTTCCAAGGACCCTACCTGCACGAAGGTGCGACACGATTACAAAAGACCCCTACCCCCAGTTTTTCAAGTTTGTAACGAGGATAATATCTCCGCCGTATCCCCGGAACCCCTCCCCTCCACAACAAACTACCCCTAATGACTTAACTAAATTACAATTTGAACACCCACCCCCCTGCCCCCATCCCCAATACAGGTTTTTCATACACTCTTCCCCAGGGGGTCGAGTACCCTACCCACTGAGGGGAACATGATAACCCTACCCTGATGAATCAGTCATATTGTCCCCACCCATCTCAGATCACCCCAGATTTTCCTCATGTTTTTCGACGAGGTACCCCACCAGAAGTCCAAATACTTGGACCCCTACCTTCCTCATACGGGACCCCCCATCCCCAAGAAATTGAGCTCTACCCCTGTAAATCAATATCAGACCACCCCTACACACTGATGTGACCCTACCCGTGTCATAGTGGCTAAACACGACCACCCCTGGAATTTCAATTGTCCTACCCCCCTACAAACCAGCCCTACCCCTACCCCACGGCTCTAACGGCTTCTCTATTGTGTATGGCAGGTTGGCGATGCTCGCATTTCCCTTCCCCCTCCCGTCCTCATCTCTGTCTCCTCGCTCTTCAGCTTTCATCTCCCATCCCCTCCTACCATCTCCTGCTGTCATTCATCTACTTCCCTCCCCTCCCCTCCCCTTCCCCCCTCTGTTCCGTCTCTCATTTTATGTACGGACTTCTGTCGCGTTTGACATGGCTGCATGAGTCCCCGCGCATCCTCTAGCCCTTCATCTTGTTATGCTCAAGACATCCTGTATTCCTCATGCTTTACATGCTCTCCAAGATATGGCCGTCCATCTTCCTGCCTTCATTTGGAAATTTTGTTTAAAGACCGCTGACTCTTGCAGTCGCATGTTCCCCTGGTTGTGTGTCGAATCCCTACAGAATCATTCGCATGTCTTGCACTGTGATGGTCTTCTTTCTCGATTCCTCCCATGCTTGCTTCTACCAATCGTTGCAGAATTCCCCTGACATTTCCTTTTCTTGTGTGCTCGTGCGCCAAATGCATTGCTTCACATTTTTGGTAGTTCTCGAAAGCACGTGCATCTGATTACGCGTGCTACCGATGAAGTGCAGAAAGCTGACAGTGGCCTCAGATGAGCAATCAAGGAATGGGTGACGGCACTTTAAAGGGATATCAGGAGGTTGTCCTAGAATACCTCAAGACGAAATCTGTAGATGAGATCAAGGTAAGAGACCGATCGGCTGCCTCAGATCATGGTAACGCCTTGCCAGCCGTTCTCACGACCACCGATCATTGTCAAAGATGACATTTCTCCTCTTGAGGGTTTTCAGATCCTTGCAGGTATGGACTGATTTGTTGAGCGAACCCGGCGGATTGAGTGTTGTGGATGGGGAACGGCAAGCTGAGCTGACATACCTTGTTTTTGCAGAAAACAACATTCGTGCCTGCCCTGTATGGTCAGACAAGGATCGTAATTTCATCGGAACTTTGGATTTGAGGGATGTTTGTAAACTCTTCGTTGAGGTGAAGAGGCAAAAGAAAGAGCAGAAGGTGAGGACTGAATTTTCGTTCCTTTATGTTTCTTGTTGTCATCTGACAAATTCTCTCCTCGCCTCCTTTCTTCTATTATTTGCTTCTTTCTCTTTGTTTATCTGTCAGGCACATCAGCACAAGCATTTCTCAGCAATCTCAGAGAATGAAGAGGAGAAACCCGCAATGCCTGTCGATGAACTTGTCGCAGAACAAAACATCAAACCAGATTCGTATGAAATGTAATCATCACTTTATCTCTTCAAATCATGTGAAAACTTCCCGCAGTCGCAAGAAAGGGACAAACCTTGTGCTCGAAACAATCACAAAGCACCCAACAATTATCTCAGATTCTACAACACTGAGATACATTGCGAAAATGCGAGTTCTGAAGAGGTATTGTTGATAATGCGGCCATTCAAGAGGACAGTGCGTTGACGGAGAGCGTCTCTTATCAGATTTCCGCATGATACAAATTTGTTAAGCATTGCTGATGCTTTGGCTGAGGTACAGATCTTCAAATCAAAATCATCCCAGTGATTTGCAATCGTAGGGAAGTCATCTTGTTGCAATTGATGGCGAAGGAGAAAATTCAAAGGTGATCTTTTGCCGATAATTTAAAGGAGGAGATGGATTGATCTCCTTGACTATGACAGAATGGAATCAATATGGTCATCACACAAAAGATGCTGTAATCATAGAGATTCATGATATTCCTTGAGTAAGAACTTTGTTGGACCAGATTTCAAGTGATCAGCCCAGTTCTGGAAAAGATCAAGTTGAGAGCTGACAGCATAATGAGAAGCCCAGTGATTTCCGTGAGGCCTCAAACTAAGCAGAACGGCAGAATGATGCGCATGGACAGGTTGAGGCATCCACAAACGCGTTCGATGCTTTCGTTATCATGGCCGACAAAGGAATCAGGTAAATGATCACGTCTGTTGGCCCATGAACATGATCCTTGGATTCAGTGCCTTGGCAGTCACAGACGAAGACGGCTCCTTAGTACACAACACAAGGTCTCTCTACTCCATGATTACTTCTTGCATTCTCAAATGCTTTCTATCAGCTCGAGAGACATCAAACAGTGGGTTGCGGGACCGGCTGAAGAGGGGGGAAATGCCGTAGACATAACCGACATGACCATCGAAGATTTCGTGGTTCAGGTCAGACAATCGAAACCATCAGTCAAGACTTGCGCCACCGTCTGCTCTGTGCACAAGGTGAGATTTCAACTTTTCAGACGTCCTTGTGCTGACTCTTTGCTTTCTTCGCCTCCGCCTTCTTTCTCTGTCTATTGCAGGAGTCGGAAGTAGGCCATGCTGTCAAGCTTCTCTTGAGAACTGGATACCATCATGTAAGGGTGCACCTCCGAGTGCATTATTGGTTGACCCTGTCGCCGGATGCAGATGTGGGTCGTTGAAACAACAGACGACGGCAATATTCCTGTATGCTTGCTGATTGATTTTTTGGAGTTTCTAACAAGAAGTCTAGGTGGGGTTGATATCTATAACGGACATTTTCCGGAAATTTGCCCACACGCGCTGAAGAAACTGAGGCCCGGGCCGTATATGTGCGCTGTACAGTCAGTGAAGAGCTGAGTCGGAGCGAATGCTGGCCTGAGTCCGGGAGCGAGCTGGGGGCTGTGTGCCGACACTTCAGTGAAGGACCATCGGACAGCCTGGGAGCCGCAACGACAGGGATAGGACAGCATCGGTGGAGCCTAGTACCAACTTGCACTAAGAAATTCTTTAATGATTAAAGCCGAGTTGAAAATCTCCGAACCGTTGAGGCGAGGTGAAGCCGCGGCCGGGCCGCAGGCCCGGGTCCTACCGAGGCAGGCCCCGGCTCTGAGTCCGGGTCGAGTGACGCCGTGAACTTCGGAAGCCGGGAAATGTCACGGTAACCAGAGAAACGGAAAGTAACGAATCTATAACTGCTTTCTATTTCAGGGGTTGATGCGCCATGCTGGGCGATGTAGAGGAAGAAGTGGAGGAGGAGAACGGGAGAGAGAGAGAGAGAGAGAGAGAGAGAGAGAGAGAGAGCTGAAGTATGGATGTAGCGAGAATAAGAGGGCAGGGAGCATCAGACGAATGAGGAGGATGAGATGAGAAATCTAGAACAGCAAATCCAGCTGAAGGGACCGATAAAGACGTGGATATCTCAAGAAGGAAAAAGAAGAGATGCGTACACGAGAAAGGAGGACAGATCATGAACAGAATGAGAGAGGGAGTAAGAATGCGAGGAGGGAGAGGCTGGTGTTTGGGAGTTAGATGTATTTCAATGCGGCGTCTCTGCTGTTCAAGACGTCAAACTCAAAACATGTTGACGGTCTGGCTCAGCGCTGCTCTCTCTCTCTCTCTCTCAATGTCTTATGGGAGCGACACTATGTTGATCATGCCATGGCAGATGTTTCAAGCGCTCGCCATGGTGTTCCAGCAGCGGAGGGTGATGTCGGCTCTCGATGAGGACGGCGAGACTCAGATGGACATGTAGACCATGATCACACTGATGGGTGGAGGATGTGACAATCGTTCTAGGTACCTCGACATGCCAGGATCCACAGCGACCGGAACTTACTGGGATCCTCCATCAGGTATCGCCCACTCTTCGTCTTCTTGTTCGTCGTCCTCTTCCTCTTAATCTCTCTGTCTCTCTGTCTCTCTGTCTCCCCCCCCCCCCCCTCCCCTTCCCTCCTCCTCGTTGTTTTTGTTCTTTCCGTCAACCTCCATGTCTTCATTTCTTCATGCTCCTCCCACCGTCCTTCCTCCAAGTTTCCCGCTATCATCGTCTTCTCTTGCCTTGCCCTCGCTCGCTTCAAGAACCTTTTCTCCTTGTAGTTTTCGTTTCCTGTCTATCACCTTCCTCCATCATCCATCCCATGATCTCCCCCCCCCTCCCCTCCTCGTGTCTTTGACTCTCTTGCTCAGGCGAGGCGTGCTGCGGAGGAACTTACTAAGTCTAGTGGGATTCGGACGGGGGGGAGGTAGAGATCAGGGAAGGATTGCAGCAATCAGCTCGTGGTTCTTGATGTTACTACATACAATCTCGACTTGATTGAGGGGGCTCCCGTTGCTACTGCTCGTCGGCGAACAAGCTGTTGGAGTTGAATTTGGCCGTGCTGTCTTGGATCATGTTCAGACGCAGCGAGTAGGCATCGATGTTGCCCTGGATCTGCTGTCCCTTCTTCATCTGTGGGGAAACCATGACGGTCCTCCTCGTCGGATCGATCTCCACCCGCACTCGGACAGACCTCCGATCGAACTCGGGCAGGCAGAAAGTCCTCCGGTACTCGGGCTCGGAGGGGAGGAAAACGGCGAAGCACACATCCTTTCCTGCTGGGATCCTCCAGATCGAGTTCACGTCCCCCGACGGGAAGCAGCCGTTGGGGGGGACTTCAGCTTTGATGATCGACTCTCCGCTCCTCTTGAACACTTCCACGTGCACTGGCTCGAACGCCATGTTGGTCACCTGCCACTCAAGTCAGATCCCCTCGCGGGGTCTTTGACTCCATCTCCTTTCACTTTCCCTCCTCTCCAGTCTCATCTCTCTCCTCTCCTCTCCTCCTTCCCCTCCCCTCCCTCTCCCTCTCGCACCACCTCCCTCCTCCGCCCTCACCTGAAGTCCCCGGGTGTCGGTGGTCTGTCCTAGAGGCGAGGGGGTCGCGAAGCTGGGTGTTCCCATGCTCTGCCTGCCACCAGCAGCCGCCTGTCCCACCGAAGGGGTCGCGACCCCCGTCCCATCGGCTTGTGCCGTGGGAGAGGAGGAGGAGGCAGACTTCTGCGGAGTCGTACGATCGTCCCTCGATCGGTCCGCACCAGCACCGGACCTCGAGGACATGCTGCTCCTGACACGGGAGTTGTCGAGCCCAGCTGGGATGGACTTGCGGGCGGGCGGGTCGTCCCTGGCGAAGCTGAAGTGACCCGAGGAGTGGCTGTCGTTCTTCCCGTCCTTCTTATCAATGTGATGGCACTCGACCTCGAAGAACTCGCCCGTCAAGCTCGAGATCTTCTTCAGCCGGCTCGAGTAGACTCCAGCAAACAGTCTGCTCTCCGCCATGGTCGCTTGGTCCCTCAGCTCCTGCACCAGCTCCCGCGGTGTCTTTTCGTCCTCTCTGCCAGGCAGGATGGCGACAACCACGACGACGCTGCCGGAGGAGACGTTCTTGATGGAGACACGGTACTCGTCTACCCGCAGGCAACGCGACAGGTCTCTCTTGAGGCCGGTAGAGAACTTGTCCATGGCTGTGAGCACGAAGCCGAAGTCCATGTCGAGAACCATCTGAAGAATCTCCTCGTTGACTGCTGACTGATCGTTGAAGAAGTCCTGGTCTGCCTTGGACGTCTCTCCCTGGTACGAGTCGAACACCCTCGTGTCGTCGTCGTAGATCTCCCGGGTCGCGTCGTTGCCCTCCGGCATGATCGTGCTGACTCCTCCCCTCAGGTTCAGCGTCTGGTCTGCAGCCTTGGAGTCGCTCGTGTAGAGGCTCGCGATCGCCCGCTCAAAGCGCTTGCTTACAGCTTCTCGCACCGATGCGCTCACTGAGGACGGGCCGAGTTTGTGGTAGGACTCGGGCAGGAAGTCGGCGAGCAGGATGATGAACTTCCGTATGGAGAACCTGTGCGACTGGAGCTTCTTGTTCACCCTCGACATCGCGTCCACCAAGTAGTTCCTGAACTCCTTGTTGTCCTTGGCCTCTGAGACCGTCCTGGCTGCGCTGCAGAAGCCGTTGGCTGCCCTGATCGCGTCCTTGTGCAGCTCGTCGGTGCCGTCGGCGTTGGTCTTGAGGCTGATGAGGCAGGAGTAGAACGGCTTGTCCTCTCCGATGACGATGACGTTGGAGACGGCGCGGACGAGGTCGAGGATGATGCTCTCTACCTCGGACTTGTCGTAGTCCACCTCCTCCGGCTCCTTGGCTTCCTCGCTGTAGAAGTTGGTGGGCAAGGGGAGCTCGACGCTAGCCTGCTCGTCTAGAGCATGCGTCACAATCTCGTCTTCCTCCTCCCTCACAGCTTCCGGAGGAGGGGCCTGAGCTTTCAGGAATGAACTCCTCTCTCTCTCCTCGACCTTGGAGTTGCCAAGCTCCCCGTCCTCGGGAGCATCCTCCTCCTTCCTACTCAAGCTGGAAGCATTCATCTCCTCTGCTTGCACGACGCTCTCCCCTCCGTCCTTTTTCTCCTCCTCGACTCCGAAGGACTGGTGCACATCAGGGACGCTCGACGTCGCTCCCTCCTTCTCCTCCTTCGCCGCAGGAGGAGGAGGGACAGGAGCTGGATGCTCCGAGACCGCAACCGAACTCGCATTCTTCTCTCCTCTCACATCAAAAATCTGCGAAATGGACCCTGCTCGTGAGCTCACCCAGTCTTCCTTTCCCTCTCCAGCCGCAGCAGCTCCAACGTCTCCTGGCCCTCCCTTGGCATCGACCCACGAGTCGCGGTAGATCTCCCGGATGTTCTTGGCGTTCCTCGCGGCAATGAAGAGTCGTCGCAGCTAACAGCAGGAGTAAGCGCGAGCTCTCACGCCCCGGCGTGCGTCGTACCTCTTGCAGCGGCGTCAACTCCCCTCCTTCCACGGAGAACTGCCGACCAAGGATGGAGAATCTCTTGATGGCCGGGTAGCTGCGCAGGTACGTGAGGGAGAGAGGACAGAGTAGGGCAAGGGCAAAGGAGCAGCCGTGACTTACAAGGGGGGGAGAGACTGGTTGACCCGTTGGACTCCCTGGATCAGAAGGGACGTGAACGAGTCGCTCTTGCGAGCATCTTGGATGGTGTGGATACGAATATTCTTGTGCTGAAGGAACTTGATAAACTCGTCGTCCAGGTAGACCTCCTGCTTCGTCGTGCTCGGCTGCTTGGCTTTGAGAGGGAGCGTGATCAGGCAAGACACGAACGGCATGCCGTTCCCTATCATGACGACCCCACTGACGAAGGGGAGGAACTGCTTCAGGTACGCCTCGTAGAAGCAAGCCGACACTTGCTTTCCGGTTGAGAGAGTGATGATCTCAGTGTCCCTGCATTCGATCTTGATCAGCATCGAGTCCGAATCGATCTTGCCGATGTCGTGGGTCCGGAAGACACCATCATCGTCGAACACTTGCAAGCATCTTTTCGCCTGTTTGTAGTACCCCAGCATCACGTTCCTCCCTGCGACCTCGAGCTCATGTAACTCGCACTCCGGCGAGACCTCCCCGGCCTGCTTCCGGAACAAGATCTTCGTTCCTGGCAGAGCTCTGCCAGAGTATCCGTGCCGGAACTTGGGCGAGCTGCTGTGAGTCTTGGTCAGTATCGTGAGTCCCTGGACTCCACTCGTCTCAGTCGCTCCGTACATGCACAGGACGGGCCTTCCTATACTCGCAAGCAGGTCTAGTGTGTCGCTGTCCACGCATGGCCCGAAGCATGCAGCGTACCTGCACTCGTCGAGCCCGACCGTCTCCCACATCTTTGAGAACACCAGCCTCTTCGCCAGCCCCCATGACGCCCCCTTGGACGAGTTCGGCTGCCCGCTCGCCAGCCCGATCCCCTGCTGCTTTTCTGCCACGGACTTGCCTCGCTCGAGGGCCCAGGAGAAGGTCTTGGCCTTGGTGCCGTGCGCTTCTGTGATCTGAGACTTGACGATGCCGGCGACCTGCTGCCAGAAGGGAGCACGTGCGATGACGTGGGTAGGCTTGATGGCCCTGAGGGCCGTGAGCATGTCCGAGAACTGCACGTCGTTGCGGATCGGGAAGGAGACAGAGCAGCCGGAGACCAGGGCCAAGTGAAGGCAGAAGATCTGGGAGGTCGCACACGCCATGGGCAGGCAGGAAACGATCGAGTCCTTAACAGTCAGGTTCAGGTTGGCCTGGAGGGCTGATGCTGTCCAGGTAACATTGTCGTGAGTCAGCATGACGGGCTTCTGAGAGCCCGTCGTTCCCTGAGTGGTCAAGATGCAGCAGCACCGGCCGGGCCGAAGATTCTTCTTCCTGTTGTCCAACTCCGCCGTGTGTTCTGCATCCTTGGAAACATCGAGGAACGAAGTCCATGTGTACACCCCGTACCAGTTGTTTCTTCGATCCCCAGTCCGCTTCTCTTCCAAGTCAAGGATCTGCTGAATCTGTGAAGGAGGTTTTTGGTTGTCGTTCCAGTACACGATATTCCTGAGGAACGGAAGCTCGTCCTTGACGTGGTAGAACGAGCGGACGACGGTCTGGCTGGACGCTATGATGACCGAGGGCTCCAGATGCTTCACGTTTGCCAAGTGCGTCTCGAACGCGTCTTCTTCGAAGAGGCAGCAGGGGATACACCCTGCGCAGATCGACCCGAGGTAGGAAATCACCCATGTACAAGACCCATGACCGATCAGGCAGATCCTATCGTCCGCCTTGAACCCACGTTTCACAAAGGCGTACGCGCTGGCATTGGTTTTCTCTGCAAGAGAGTCATAGGTCAGCTCTGTCCTCCTCTTCCCGTCTGCAGTGACGTCGGAGTAAGCCACATTGACTTCGAACTTCTTCGAGGCTTGGCGCAACACTTGCAGCACGGTAGTTGGAGTGGAACTGTATGCTTGATCAAAACATCGCCGAACGAGCTCGCGATCTAAGACTGAAGACCAGTTCTCCGCAAACTGAGGAGTCGAGTCTGTTCCCTGAGCAATGCCGCCACTCTCCATGGTCTCTTTCCTGCTGGAAGGCTGCACGGACACCTTCTTGGTTTGTTCTTGTTTCTCGACGTTCGGATGCCCCTGATTCTCCTCCTCGACAATCTCGCAGACGGCTTCTCTTGCTGCCTGCGACTTTACACCCGATCCTGCAATTCCTTCTCGAGCTTTAATCGTGGAGCCTTGCTCCTCCGCCTGTGGAACAGACCCTACTGGCAAGGGCTGCCTTACAGCATCAGCACGAGCAAGCAGCCTGGTAGCAGAGACTCACTTGCTCAGCCGATGGACTAGATAGATCCTTGTACTTGACATGCTTGTGCTGGAACAAACCATCTTAGTCGGATGCTAGCTTGAGACAGAACAAGTTGTACTGACCTCAGCGTTCGCTGGAAGGGAGTGCAACGCGTTGAAACACTGGGAGGAAAAGTAAAACTTGAGCAGCAGCGGTGAATATCTTCGTCAGAGTCAAATACTCACTTCAGTACAGAGATCTTGATAACAGTCTAGACAGAAATAAACTGAACCAGGAACATCACACAGGGCACAGTTCGGTCGCTCAGTCATGGATCATACAGCAATTGCATGCAAACTGTCAGATCAATCACTTGTTATCAAGGTCATTCCTGCAAGTATTCACTTCAATATCAACCCATGCATGCTCTCCACTCGACATTTCGAAACATTTCCCTTCTACCAACTCCTGGAGCTGAATCACTTCCCAACATCTATTCAACCGATGAACATCTCGCCACCATCATATCTAAGAACTTTTGCACGATGTCAACTCGCTATCTTCCCATTGATCTACAACAAAAAACGGAGAACATCTTCACTGTCTTGTACTCATGTTGTCCTGCTAGGCAAGAATCCGCATCTATCTACAGAACCGACTTTCTCAGCTCTCATTGACTGCAAACAAGTCAATCTGATCACAAGCAACCATATCTTGATTCAAAATCCCATTGAAGTCTGTCGGTCGTTCTATTCTTTTTGATCCTGGCATGCTCTTGGAGCCGGACAGAGTTTGCGGTTCAATTTGAGACAAAACCTTGACCTGCATCAAGGGAGCATACCCCATTCTCGCCTTCACATTTTCTCAACATGATCTTACACTTTTCTTCGCTTTCAGTCTCTTACTTCTATTCGCCAGACCTCTCATGACACGAAATTGTACTTCCGTCACCTCTTGTACCAAACCCCCACTTCACCTCTCTTAGTTCGTAGCTCTTGTTCTATACTCTCCTGTCATGCTAGGCCTTGAAACTTGCTCTCTCGTGTTGTGCCATGCACTAATATACCCTCCTATGCCTTGCTTTCCCCTCCTATGCCCTCCCTCCTTCCCTCCTTGCCATCCTCTTCTCCTTCCCATCGCATGATCCTCCTCTGCAAAAATGGAGGTGTTTGCTTTGGGGGTGGGGGTACTCACCCCCACCTCTCTTTCCATCTCTGTGTGCCCCAAAAATCTAGGAAACTATGGGGAGAAAGGACTACCCCCAATGAGGTAGTCTTCACACCCCACCCCGTAATAGTTTACTGACCCAGCCTCCCCCGAACGCAAATAGGGGTAGGCACCCACAGCAAACTCACACAGAGGGTGGTAGGGGTGAGAGAAATACCCCTAATTCTTCCACTAGAACAGAGGAGAAGTACCTGGTGGGGTGGAAGGAGACTGCTGGCTGGACGAGGGTGGGGTCTCTGAATAAACCTGAATCGAGAATTAGTTAATAAAGTTTAGTTAATTTCGAGGGGTGGGGTAGTAAAACTCTAAAGGGGGGGTCATGAATTTGATGACCGACAATCAGAGGGAAGGGGGGGTGATATTCAAGGGTGGGGTGGTATCATGGCAGTTGGGAATGGCGGGAGAAGGGCACTGCGGTCAGAGAGGAAGAAGAAAAGATGGGAAAATGAGGAGACGAGGAGGCTAGGAGACGAGGAGGAGAGGTAGAGAGTCCGAAGAATGATCAAGAGGAGCCTATGGAGGGAGAATACTGACTAGTATGAGAATGAGAAGCGAAGGGAGGATGTGGTGTGAGTGAATTTTATGAGGGAAGGGGAGGACAGTGAAGATAAAGAATTAGAAGAAAGACCGAGCTGAGAAAGATACACAAGTATTGATCCAGGCTCATTGCAGAGAGTAACCCTGAAAAGCGATTGTGATTTTGGAGAGTTTGTAGTTTGCACCCTCGTTGCGGTCACCAATAGTAAGCAACGGGATGCAGAAGAATGAATCGATTCTAGTCGAACAACGATTCAGACTTTCTCCTCTTCTTCAGTAGACACATACAGCTTTCTTGAGGATATTGATCTAGCACTCAACCTGTTGAGGCATATGCAAGGCAACACTCTTCACACCTCTGCCAGTTTCCCTGTGCTCCTGGTTGCTGACGGTCAAAGCTGCAGGCGCTGGGATGGCAGTGATAGAGAGGAGTGAAGCCATGCCATTCCGACTTTGATTCGGTTCGCCGACGGGGGTAGAGCACAACGCAGTCATGGACGATCAAGAAATCGCGAATCAATTCGCAAGCTTCTTCTTCAAGACGTTCGAGAAGGAACCGCAAGAGGTATGCAGCTCCTGCTGCTCTTTCTTATCTTGTTGTCAGAAAGTTGTTGAAACTTTGAAACACGTTTGTAACCTTGAACCTCTAGTTGTACAAGTTATATGCACCTTACTCGGCCAGATCTGAACTGATTTGTCGTGCCGGACATTCGCACGACAAACGAAGGTGATACCGACACAAGATGAAATGTTGTCGATCAACTTGATCTTGGCTGGCCCCTGTGAATGAGATGAAAGAGTTGCTTGCTAATCACTTGAACGGTCATTCTCCCTTGTAAACAAACAGTCCTTGTTATCGCTTGATGGTGCATACTGGCTGCTCTCCATCTGACTGGTGTCATCAGGCATGCCCAGACGATGAGGGGTGTGAAAGCCGATGGCATACGGGAGATCTTTGGACTGGTAGTTGGAGTCTTGAGACAATGATGCGACTCATGTTGCGCTCTAGACGGAGCGAACAGTCAGATCGGGAGTGAAGTTTTGCATCAATGCAGTTTACAGGTGAAAACTCCTGCAGTTGTGCAGATGAGAGGTGTTGAGTGCTTGTTTTTTTTTCTAGCCAATCGCACAGTCAAAACAAACTCACCGTGGTTGTCATTGGGGATTGCTCCTGCCCGCACGATGGCGAGGAGGGGGGGGAGCAAGACAGGCCTCTGCATGCAACCTTTGTACGTCTTGTACTTGTTCTTCTCGTGGATTTCTTAGTGACTTGTCATCGCACCAGATTGAAGTCTTCGAACTTGAAAGGGCCAATCGGGACATGGCCTACTACATATGCAGCGATGTTCTTCAAATGCATGAGAATGAAGCTAGGCAGCCGTCCTCGGACGACATGGAGGTGACATGCCTGGTCCGAAGAGACGAGCGTCTGACTTTGTACAGGGTCTGAATTTGACGGTTGAAATCCACAACATCAAGAGTCTCGTATCCTCCAGCCTGCAAGAGGTGAAATTCAAGAGAGGAGGGAGGGAGGTGACCATGCCTGACACTTCCCCAAGATTGTCGATCAGACTGCTGATGTCATCAGAGAGATGAGAGAGACTCAAGACTTGCTGCAAGAGACTGAACAGTCGCTGATCGAGAGCTCTTCCTACGCACTCCGAGACCTCGAAATGAAGCACAAGATGGCATTTGACCACATCGAGAAGCAGCTCGTCTCGCTCACGAAGCAGTTGGAGTACAAAGTATGCAAGATCGCCTCCTTGAACCTCGCTCCTCATGTGCACCCAGGACTTTGCCAGGAAGGAACTGCTCGCAGCGAAAGAATGCCTGGAGAAGAATCTCTCTAAGGCCAAGGCAGAGGGCATGGTAGGCGATGGCAACTGGGGTATATGTGAGTAACGACGTGTCGAAGTCTTTCAAACAGGAGCTGGAGGCGTGCAAGATGAAGATCGACGAGCTGAACATGAAGGGGAAGATTGCAGAGTCCGAGAGAGACAGCCTTGCAAGACAGGTGGAAGGAGGAGGGTCTTGACATGTAGGAGTCACTGACTGATTGCTTCACGGCAGCTCGAGGGCGCCGATCTCGATCTGAGCCAGAGCAAGGTGAAGGAAGTTGTGGCTGTTTCCGTTGTGAGGACGAGCAGGCTGCTTATTCCCGGCTGGAGATATCTTCGGGTGAGAAGCTGCAGAAGACCAAAGATCTGCTGAAGAAGGTGAGGTGACCAAGGCAGCCAGACGGACTGAATGACGTGGGCACATAGATGCTGGATTCGTACAAGCAGAAACAAGCTGAAGTCGAGAGCTTGCAGCAGGTGGAAGAGAGGAGGAAGGCGTCTTGCTCTCGTGATGAAATCTCGGGGTCGCAGGACTTCAACAGGATGAGATCACAGACTTTCCAGCTGGAGAAGAATGTCGAGCTACTCAGTGAGCAGCAGGAGTGCTGGAGACAAGACCGTCCTGACGTCTAGTGGCAGCGAAACAAAGAGACAACGCAATAGCAGAGCTTCTCGACTTCAGGTGACTCGTCGCTAGCGATCAGTAGACGAAGACGACTGACTTTTACCCAGGGAAAACGTGGGGTAAGACGACGTTCCGTCGCCAGTTGATGGCACACTGCAGATGCTTCTCCTCCTCCTCCTCCTCCTCCTCCTCCTCCTCCTCCTCCTCCTCCTCCTCCTCCTCCTCCTCCTCCTCCTCCTCCTCCTCCTCCTCCTCCTCCTCCTCCTCCTCCTCCTTACCTCTTCAAACCTGCCAATCACTCGTATCCTTGCTAGGATCGTTCAAATCAGAACCAAACAACCGGCCAAAGACTTGGTGAGCTATCGATACCTCGGAAGAGAAGGTCTTCAACGGGCTGACTGGCAGTCACCTGGCAGTCTCAAAGCTTTGAACTGGAACGACATGCGCTGAACAGCACAATATCGAGCTTGAGGACGCGAGTGGAGCGTCTGGTGCAGCCGCTGCTGTGAACGATGGCGGGGGTGACCCGCTGGCAGGAGGAGGAGAACAACGCGCTGCACACGACATCAGACAAGCTGAAGGATGATCTGGAGAACCTCAAAGTGATTCTGCTGCTGAATCGCAACGAGCTCTTGTCAAGCCTTGCCGCAGTTGAAGGAGGAGGAGAGCGCGATCGCTTCGTCCATGAAGATCGAGGGCTTGCAGGTACAAAAGGGGACAGAGCAACGCCCCTCCTTCTTTCCACCCTCCCCCCTTCCTTCTCTCCCTGCTGACGGCCGCACCCTCCTTGCAGGCGATGGTATCGCAATATGAAGGAAAGGAGCGAGAGATGCTTGCAGCGGTAGACAGGGAGCAACGGACGAAAGAAAGTTTGAAGGTACAAGAGTACAAGATGCTTCAAAGCTGATCGCGGGTTGCAGCAAGAGTTAGACCAGCTTCGAAAAGGTTTTTCTTGTGCTTCTGATTGAGATGGAAAGAGTTTCTCATTGTGCATAGATTTACAAAATCGGAGAGAGGAGCTCGAGAGCGCGCAAAGGGAGGCAGTGCTATGGAAAGAGAAGGTGAGCAAGAGACGTGTCTTTCGACTGCTCCTGATCCCTCGACTTACAGGTAGAGAGTCACGAAGTCAGCCTCAAGAGGCTCAGGGAGAAGATCGCGAGGCTAGAGGAGCTGGACACGTTGCATCGCAAGGAGAAGGTAAAGATGACGGGCTCAACGTGCTGTCACTTTCTAACACGCCGACAGAACTGTCTGTCGTTGCAGTCCAACTCTTATGCTGAGAAATGTGGCAACTTGGAGAGGTAAGCCTCGCCTCCCTCCTGCCAAGTTTTTCACGCTCCCTGCCCAGAGCTCTTGCGAACGCCCTGAGGGAGCGAGAAGGAGTAGAAGAGATGCTTCGACTGGCAGAGGAGAGCATTGGTGAAAGACCTGTCCATGTCCTCAACCGTCTTCCTGACAAGTGCTCCATGCAATCAGTTGACGAGACCAGAAGACGAGAAGAGCTGGAGAGAAGGTTTCTAGAGCAGATATCTGATGTTGTCTTCAACCTTCCCTCTCTCTCCTCCTCGCTCACAGCCGTGCAGATGAAAGAGGAATTCGAAGCCAAGTTGGAGCTGGCAGTGGTCAAGTGAAGATGGTGGTTGTACTATAGCGGGCTGTAATGCCAGTGTGTAACTGAGTCCTGCGGTCAACTCAGGACGTGTGACTAGTGTAGAGTAAGTGATAAAGATAAACCCAAGGCTGGTGCTCTCCCTCTCTCCTACCTTGTTGGCAGGTCTTGTTGTCTGCTGCACGACAAACGTCAGCGTTCAGGGCCCAGCTGCGGGTCGAGCTCACAGCGGCCAGGGTGTGTCGAGGAGCTGAAGCCTCTCCCACCTTCTTCAGCTTCATCACCGCCTTCTTAGCGAGAGCTGAGAAACGTCGATCAGTGACGAGCCCCCACCCCGTTAGGACTAACCGAAGTGATCACGGGGGGTGGGCTTGTCAGCCACGGGGGGCGCCAGCAAGCCGGAGAAGACGACGGTCTTCATGCTGAAAGGTTTGTTCCCCCCGCTCCTGCCTCCTCCCTGCGCGTCTCCGGGGCCGGGGCTCTTGGTGGAACGTTTCTCCTCCTGCAGCAAGGGCTTTTGCTCTTGATTCACAGCGGAGGAAGAGGAGGGTTCTTTCGTCGGGGGGGAGAGGGGGTCCACGACTATCGCAAACGCTCCCATGCAGCGAGCGATGGCCTCCGCTCGCTTCCGACGGATCTCCTCCTTCTTCGCCTCCCACATCCTTGACTTGATCTTCCATCGCTCCTCCAGCTTCTGCGCTATGACCTTGCGAGGACCTTCAAGCTTCGAATGAGCCGCGCTTCTGCTCGACGACACCGCGTCCACTCCCTCCTCCTTTCCCACAGGCACTGACTGCCTTGCTCCTCCGCTCCCCTCCCGCATCTCGTTCGAGTTTGACTGGGGAAGTTTCGCATCCCCAGTCCGCTCCTCCTCCTCCTCCCTCGCAACAAGGTCTCGCAGATCCTTCAAACTCTTCATCTCGCTCAGATGGCTGAACGTCTCTGACACTCTCCGCGCTGTCTCCACCCGCACCTCCCTCACAGTCTCTTGCACTCTCTTCATGCCGCTCTTCTGCCACATCCTCGAGACTTCGGACTGGATGGCCGTTAGCTTCTCGTCAAAGAAAGTCCCCACGTCGTCAAAGTCTTTGACGTTGTCGGGTCCGGTCTGATCCGCGTGCAGAGCATCATCATCATCATCATCATCATCATCGTTGCGGAAGCTAGCGAGAAGTGACTTGTGGAAATCTTGAATGCGATGGCACAAAGAGAGGACCTGAGAACGAGAGAGAGAGAGAGCCTTGCTGTTCGCCTTCGACCTCGACTGGCTAACATGGCGAGTCTGCAAAGAGACTCGGGCTGAGGCAGACGGCGAGGCTTCAGGGTCGGGATCGTCATGCGGAGAAGGGACGGCGAGTAAATCTGAGGCAGGGGAGGCATCGGAGGGGTATGACTCTTCCTGATCGTTCGAGTCATCAAGTAGAGGAGAAGAGTTTTCAACGCTCTGTCCTCCTTTCGTTTGTTTTGACTCCCCCGGCTTCCTTTGGTTGCTTTTCAACGCCTGGAGGGTCTGTTGGAAGACATTGCCAGACATCTTGGCTTGATTGTTCTTGAGCGTCTGAATCTGCTTCGATTGAAACTTGACCTTGTTCTCCAATGCTGCAAGGAACCCCTTCAGCCTCTCGGCCTCCGCCTGACTCTCCTCCTCGATCTTGCTCTTCTCTGCCTGCAGCTGCTCGCTCGCTCGCTGCAGCTTCCTAATGTCGTGAGGAATCTGTTGCAGCGCCTTGTCGATCTTGTCGTCGTCGATCGAGAGGTCGGCAAACATCTGACCATCAACAGCTCTCCTCGACGCTACCAAAATGTCCCTTTGCATGTCGATCTCTGCCAGGAACGCCTGATCAGCTTCGGCGTTCTTCATAGCGAGAGACTGCAGCGCCTCCGTCAGCTGCTTCTGCAGCCTCTTCTTCTCTTCTTCCTTCTGCTGCACAACCGCTCGAAGCTCTTCCAGCTCCGTCTTCGTCTTCGCCAGCTCCCACTCCATCTGCGCCGTCTGCGCTGTCGACGGAGCCTCCCGCAAACTCTGCAGCTGGTTCTCGATGTCTGTGCCATTCTTACGGCGCTCACGGACGGCGTCTTGATCGATGGCTCGCCATAGCTGCTCCTCGCGGAATCTGAGCTTTTCCTTGAGGACCAAGGTCATCATCGTCAGCCGCTTGTTGTTCTTGTCTTGCCGCTCCAGGCTCTCGACGAGTCGGTTCACCTGGGAGTTGAAGGAGAAGAACTGCTCGGAGAGCTTCTTCCTCAGTACCTTGTGATCCGAGTGAGCGGTTGTGATGAGGCTGTCGGAAATCTGCTGCAGCGACGTCTTCAACAGCCTCGCTTGCTCCAGACTCTTCGTGACCTTGTCCGTCGTGACGTCATCGAGGTCTATGGCTGTCCGCATCTCCTCGTCCAGCTGCTGGGTCACCTCCTTGTCGTCGAACCAGCCCTTCAACTCCTGCAGCGAGTCTCTCTGCTCCCCTCCCTCCCCTTCAGCCCAGGACTCATCCCCGGTAAACATGCGATCCCCACGTAGCAGCCTGTCGTTGTCTCTCTCCGACGAGTCCAGCATCTCTTCCGTGCTCATGATCGCCATGAAAATCTTCTCGAGCGTCATGCTCTGCTCGTTGACGAGCGTCTGCAGGGTTCGCTCCCCCTCCTGCCCCCCACGCTCCTCCTCCCCTGCCATCTCCATCCCCGGGCGGGTAGCAACCACGCCGGATTAAAAATCATAGTAAATTAATATATGATTTTAAAACGACAGTACAGATAAAATCAGTTTTAAATGCTTGATGGGGGTTGTCAAGCCGAAGCGACAAGATGGAACATGAAGCGAACAATCAGCCCGGGAGCTCGATCAGAGTGAGAGGAGGAGGAGGAGGAGGGGGAGAGAAGAGCATGCAACATCAGGAGGAGGAGGAGAGAGGGAGGGGAGAGAAGAGCATGCAACATCAGGAGGAGGAGGAGAGAGGGAGGAGAGAGAGAAGAGCATGCAACATCAGGAGGGAGAGAGAGAGGGAGGGGAGAGAAAGAAGAGCATGCAACATCAGGAGGGAGAGAGAGAGGGAGGGGAGAGAGAGAAGAGCATGCAACATCAGGAGGGGGAGAGAGAGAGAGAGGGAGGGGAGAGAAAGAAGAGCATGCAACATCAGGAGGGGAGAGAGAGAGGGAGGGGAGAGAAAGAAGAGCATGCAACATCAGGAGGGGAGAGAATGGTGAGCAAGATATTGTTCTGAAGCACGGCCGCAGGAAATCATCGAAACACGCGTGGAGCATGTGTTAGAGATCGTAATCCCACAGCTCGAGATCAACGTTGACTTTGTGAGCTAATCAAAATGTTGGGAGGCGCTTATCCTGATGAGAGGCTGCCAGCAAAAGCTGAGGGAGAGGTTCCGCAAGAACACGAAGATGGAAGGTCAAGTGCGATCCATCTTCGACGACCTGATGACTGCGGTGAGCTTCAGACATGAAGAACAATCAGCGACCTGACGGCTCAACCGCAAGATCAACACATGGCACGTGAAGGACAGCATCTTCAAGCACGCGACTGCGATATCGGAGGACCTGCCTCGTGACATCGAAGACATCGGGAGGACAGCTCAGCGCCATGGGTAAGAGTTTCCTGCCCCCATCCTTTCAGCGCCTGACCGGGAAGCTCACAGGTATTTTAGTCGCTTCCAGACGGAAGAAGCCGAAAAGATTCGCATCCTTCAAGCTACTGTGAGCTGACCGCCCTTGTTTCCTCCCTTCTCAGTCTGCCCTCCCAGGTTGAGGATCTTGAAGGAGACCTGTAGCTCGTCTGCCCTCCCCGCCGCGCGTGACTGCTGGGTGCTGCAGGCAACGGCTGCGGGGATTGTACAAGGAAGACATGGAGCGAATGAGCGAGGAGCTCGCAAGCTTGAGGTGAGCTGGGGCAGCGCCGTTGCGATGGGAACCGACGAGTTGCAGGCTGGAGCTGGTGGACTCGGGCAAGCAACGGCTGGAGCTCCAGCAGCAGATTATTGTGCAGGTCGTTGCGCCTGCTGCCTGCTGAGGGCGTCTGAAGGAGGAGGATCGGGGTGTGCAGGAGCAGAGGACCAGTGAGGAGATAAATAGGCTGCAGCAGATTGTGGACAACGACACCATCGTGGTCACGTCATTGTCAAACGTAAGTGCGCCCGCTGCTTCCTCCTCCTCCTCCTCCTCTTCCTCCTCCTCCTCCTCCTCCTCCTCCTCTTTCTCCTCTCCTCCACCAACTCCTCCTGCTGTTCATTGCTTCCGGCTGGCAGGACCTGGAAATTATTAAGCTGGAGAAGGAGAAGCTTAGAATGGAAGTGAAGGACCTGGAGGTGAGGAAAGGCCGGAGATGGCGATAAGCAAGGAAGGGTCAGGAGGGAGGAGAAGAGAAAAAAAGGAACAGGGAAGCAAAGCAAGAGTCGAGGAGACGAACAGAGGGAGGAGAGGAAAGAAAAGTACAAGAGAAGGGAAAGAGGAGGAGGAGGAGGAGGAGGAGGAGATGAATGAGATGAACGCAGGCGCGTCTGGACAGCTGTGAGCTGACTATCACGAAGAAGGAAGCGAACATCAAGTGATTCATCTGCCCTCCCTGTTCCTCCTCCTACCCTCCTCCTGCCATCTTTCTTTCTTTATCCTTCCCCCCCTACAACGCCCTTCCTGCCTTCATTTCTTCATCCTTCCCCCTCCTCCTACCCTCCTCCTGCCTGACACTCCTTGAGGTCGTTGGAGTCCTACGTCGAGCGGGTCTGCTGCGAGGGGCGCGTGATGGAGGGCTAAGAGGATACTGGGCAGTTGACGAGTGACAAGGGAGGGATCAAGCAGGCGATGGTGGAGGCGGAGGGGAAGCTGAAGTCGAGCGAGAGGGTAAGAGGGATGTTGGAAAGTGCGAGGAAGATAGAGTTGGGTGCAGGCACAGGAGCAGCTCATGGAGCTCAACGAGAAGATCGCAGCGAAAGGTAGCACGTCATGGCATGCAGACATTTCCATCCCTTCCTTCTCTATCCTCTCCTCTCCTCTCCTCTCCTCTCCTCTCCTCTCCTCTCCTCTCCTCTCCTCTCCTCTCCTCTCCTCTCCTCTCCTCTCCTCTCCTCTCC